TCAAAGTGGTCAAAATCGCCGATGCATAAACATTGTCAAGACCGCTAACTTCACGAAAGCATAATTCCCTACGTTTTCCATCAAATTTCATACTTTTGGTGTCATTATGATTGAGAAAAGATTCTCAATCTTTTCATAAGAATTTTTTTTTTTTTTTTAAATTTTGGCGACCATGAGAACAAGTCTCTGAGAGGGCCTGACGACCCACAAAGGGTTAATTGGATTTCCATTATTTCTTGTGGGGAAAATTAATTCGGCTAAAGGCAAAATCAGTTAACCCTTTGAGGGTTTTCGTCGTACTAGTACGTCTTACGCGTAGGGGTTTTTGACGTACTAGTACTCATAAATTATAGCGACCTCAAATCTAGTGGGAGAAAGCTGGTAGGCCTTCATATGAAAGAATGGGTCTATGTGGTCAGTGTGCACAGTCTAAAAAAAATCCTGCAGCACACGGTGCATAATGAGAAAAAAAAAACTTTTTCCATTTTTTTTTAATAAATCAGCGACTTTGCAGTGTATTTTCGTATAGTATTTATTGTTGTATTCTAGTTTTCTTGGTCTCATTTTATAGAATGGAAGACATATTACTGAAATTGAGATGATTTTGACTGGTTTTACAATGAAAGGTGCCTTGAAATTGAGCTCAAAGTAGCAGAAATGTTCGATTTTTACCAAACTTCAAAAGTAAACAAATCGTGCCAAGCGTGCAATACACGTCAACTGGTGAGTCTAATATTCTTTCACAAGTGCACCAATAATATTTATACCATTTTTTACACTAATGCAGTAGTCTGCATAACAGTAAATCTTATATTTTTTGTGAGAATAAAAATTCAAAGTGGAAAGCAAAAGAATATAAGAGGGGCCTTGAGACGTGACTAATGACTAGAGGAAATGTCATTTTAGTGCCAGGAATGTCTTTCTTGTTTATTCTGGACCCTATTCCGAAATTGGCATCTTTTGAAATTTGTGTGAAATTGGCAAAATTGCTAAATTCTGACCACTGTAATGGATAGTTGAATTTATAAATGGGTGGTTTCTTGCACCCATTCGATAGAAAAAATGGAGTTCTAGCGAAATATTCATGTTTTTTGTCGACTAGTACAGTGAAATTGGCCGAAAATGGGGCTCAAAGTGGGCAAAATCGCCGATCCGTAAACATCGCCGAGACCGCTAACTTTGCGAGAGCATAATTCTGTAAGTTTTCTATCAAATTTCAAACTTTTGGTGTCGTTATGATCGGAAAAAGATTCTCTATCTTTTCATAAGAGAAAATAATTTTTTTTTTTTTTTAAATTTGGCCGACCCTGAGAACGAGTTTCGGAGAGGGCCTGTCGACCCTCAAAGGGTTAAAGGCAAGCTCTCTGAAACGAATTACTGCCGTTACCTGAGGGTCCACTGTAATGTAAATCCAATTAATCCATTCCAGACACCTAAAAATATTAAAAAAAAATACATTTTATAGAGAATAAGTATAGTTTTACATACAGAAAAGAGATGATGAAATTCAAGGGTTCACTGTATATTTATGTACATACTCTTAACTCGGGTAGATCTGTCTGTGACTTGATAAGCCCACTGTGTGGGTGAAACGAGTCAATAAAGGATCGCATTATACTGCATTTGTATTTATGATTTTTTTCCATTGTATCGGTACTTTTATACCTTTTATCTCCACCTCAGGTGCTAGTCAATCCCAGCCCATCTTACTTGGATATTTGTCTTAACTGTTTTTAAAGCTACTCAAGGTCTTAGCTTCTATTACCCACTTTGGTAGATTGTTTAACACAATGAAAACTTATTTGAAAACCAGTACTTTCCTATGTCCTTTTTAAACTTATCTAATTTAAGTCCATTATTTCTAGTTCTTGAATCAATATCCTTAGAGCTTTATTTATATTTCTTTTGTTTATGCCCATCTTCTATTTACAAACCTCAATGATATCTCCTCTCATTCTACATATCTCAAGTGTGTGAAGGTTCAAGGTTCTCAATCTATCCTTATATGAGAGATTCCTTATATAGTGGATTAATTTTGTCATCCTTCTCTGAATACTCTCCAATGCATTTACATCTATTCTGTGGTTTAGAAAAACACCTAAGCATAAATACCAACTTGTTAGTATTTATTACCAAGGTTTATACCATATCCATTCCGTAGAATGGTGACCAAAACTGAATTGCATAATTTAAGCGAGGCCTTACTAGTGATAATTAAGACACATGTGCAACTGTTAGGTATCTTTATTCCAAAATGTTTCACCTACACAGTAGGCTTCTTCAGTCAAGTACAGAGGCAGCAGTAGAGATGATGTAATAAGTCCATCACCCTAGAAGTAGAAGTTCTGAGGTAGTCAGTCCCTCAGCTTCGAGAAGAGTTCTGCTCCATAGTCATTGTTCCAGATCATGGTATCTTTATTATGGAAACATTTCACCAGGTAGTGGTTTTCTCGGTTCAATACAGAGAAGAATAATGGAAGATCAGGGAGTTTGAGGTAATCAGTCCCTCAGCCTGGAGTTGATAGGATCAGTTCCTCAATCTTGATAAAAGTACAGCATGAGAGAAGTGGCTTATACACTGCAGACAGGCAAGGTGAAACAGTTGAGGTGGTGTCACCATGGTAAAATCCATAGGTGGAAGTAAGTCATGCCTGTAGGCTGAACTCCAAGCTGAGGGAGTGACTACCTCAAACTCCTTTTGATCTACTATTCTTCTCTGTATTGGACTGAGGAATCCACTGGCTGGCAAAATGTTTCTGCAATAAAGATACCCAAGTGTTGCACAAGCTTCTTATTCATGAATGGACCAGTAGGTCTACTGCAGTGCTCTTCTAATGTTATATAATGGACAAGTGTAAAACCTACCTAGTATATGGGCCAGAAGGCCTTCTGCAATGCTCCTTTATTTTTATCAAGTATTTCCAAACCCCATCCCCCAGTTTTTGCTGGAATATATTTTGAATAGCAATCATCTGACCCCTTCTGAAGTCCCTCAAAAATGTAAGGTAGATTTATCCATGAGATATATGAAAAATTAATGATTTTTGGCAAAATATCAGGTTGATCAATACAGAGTTGGGTTGTACTCGGTACATGGTTTGATCATCATCTGTGTCCACCAAACTGCCAGAATTACTTGTAACCAAGCTTAAACCTTGTTACTATACCATCGCTCAGTCTGTTCACATTGCCAGTTATTCCACCTAAGTACTTATCTATGTTCATGTTATCATAGCGGGTGATGGATTTACTCAGGCTTCTAACTATATTCCTATAACATTGTTTTATTATTTACCTTTCTCCTATTATTATTCCTAATGCTAGATACAGACAAACCAGTTATATTCAACATTTTCCTTTAGGGTACTTTTTTTGGAAACTTATCAACTTTATCATGAAAAGTAATCCAATATGTAATGAAATCCATAACAATTGTACATTAATTCTTTTTACCTGGATTTTTGGGCATCTATATGTAGCTTTTCAAATGAGCATGTTGTTAGTCATCATGTATGCAAGTCAAGAGTCTTTAGAGAGCTGGGGAGGGCATGTAAAAAGAAGGAAATTAAGAGTCAATGTAGAAAAAAGGAAGGTGATGAAAGTATATAAAAAAATCTAGGCAATGAGAGTTTAGATATCAAACTGGAAGTAGTGAGTACAGAAGAAGTAAATGTGTTTAAATATTTGGGAGTGGACTTGCTGGTGAATGGTTCTAAGAGAGATGAGGCAAACCACAGAACTGATGAGGAAAAAAAGATGAGTAGTGCATTGAGGCATCTGTGGAGATGAAGAATTTTATCAATGGAGGCAAAAAGGAAAATGTACCAAAATTTAATGGTACCAATATTGTTGTATGGGTATAAAACATGGGTTATCAATATTGTAATGAGGAGGAGGCTGGGGCAGTGAGGGCAATGTGTGGTGTGAATATTATGCAGAGAATTAGGAGTTTGGAGGTTAGATAGTGATGTGGAGTTTCCTAAAGTATTATTCAGAGAGCTGAGGAAAGGTTAAGGTGGTTTGGATGATGAGAAAGGCTTGAGAAAAATAGGAGGATTAAGAGGGCATATAACTCTAGGGTGGAGGATGGAGGGATAAGGGTGATCCTAGAAAAGGTTGGAGGGGGGAGGGGTAAAGGAGATTTTGAATGCTAGAGCTTGGGCATACAACAGGCATGTGTGAGTGTGTTAGAAGTGAGCAGAGGCAAGAAGTTTTAATGATCTGACATGCTCTTGGAATGTGAGCAAGGTAACATTTCTGAAAAGATTCAGAGAAACTGGTTAGCCCAACTTGAGTTGTGGAGGTGGGAAGTAGTGTGCCTGCACCCTGATGGAGGAGTGTGGATGTTGCAGTTTGGAGGGGCACCTGAACTGTGATGTCAGTGTATTTCTGGGAAGACAGTAATTGAATGAATAATGGTGAAAATTATTTCTTTCTTTTTCAGGCCCTCTACCAGTGGAAGATGACCAGTTTGCTAAAAGAACAAAAAATGGCTTACCATCCTCAGGATGAGGCCCACAACAGTCAACTAATATCCAGGTGTCTACTCTATTTACTGCTAGGTGAAGTCCATGTGTCTTACCCTGCCCAGCAGGATAAGACACATGGGCAAGCTGAATGCTCTGACCACTGAGCTACAAGACAGCATTATTTGGTTCAAAGACACATGAACAAATACTAGAACAATAATATTTACAAGAAAATGTTTAGGTCCTGGGACCCTGATGACTTCAAAGTGATCAGGTCTCAAGATAAATGTTTTCTAATAAAAATATCTTTTTAAGCTTCACCAGTGGATGAAAATAGACAATTGCAGAGAGGAACTTTATTATGGCATATCACCAGTGGACTGTCTTCCTCGGTCACTGTGTGAAGAATCTTGTGGGCAGGTGAAACATCCCAATAAGATTCCTCTTTACAATGGTCTTTTCACCATTTGTTGCCACTCGTCTCCACTTGTAGGTACTCACTAGCAAGGTTTATACCACACCAGTCTTCACCTTTGCTCTATCTGCATTTAGAGATTCCAGGTAGGCAGCGTCTTGTTCAGCTTTGACAGCCTCGCGAGCTTCTCTTGCTTCTTCCTCTTGCACTTCAGTGGATCTCTGTTCCTCAAACATCTCACTTGCATGTAGGAGTGCAGTCATTACTTCATCTAGGACTCCATTACCTGACACACAAAAAACAAATTTATTGCTCCCTGCAAATTATGTGGTAGAATAAATATACAGTAATGTTTTAGAAACACTGGAGTATGTATGAAACTACTTGAAGCATGGTGTAAGACTGTCACTCCACTGCTGACAGTGCAGCAGTGGAGTGACTTTTGATAATCATGCACTGCCTTGGCTTTATTTTTCACTGTTACACATTAATGTGTCTGTCCATTTGTTGTTTCTGTCTTCCTGTCTCTCTCTCAGCAAGAGAGCTGCTCATTAACCGATAGGTATTACACATGATGCAGAGTCATCACATCTGATTCCTGAACAAGTGAAAATGTGTATTACTTGCCAGTCATGCTTATTATGCCTTATATCTACAAGCACAGTATAGCACTTTGTACGGATTTTATGGGTTATCCTAGGTAATTTACACTATGTATAACTGCATTTAAGTGTGAGATAGAGATAGACAGAGATACAGACAGACAGAAGGAGACAGAGACAGCCAAAGCAAATCAGCCAGCCAGCCAGCTGGCCACCCAACCAGCTGGCCTGCCAAACATGTATTACATATGCTCCAGAATTGTTTCTCTTTACTTAGGGCATAGGTTATAGAACATTCTAGCAGGATGACACTACCAGTGGTATCAAAATTGAAAGGATGTTACACTTTGGTTATTATCGAGGCTTCTGATATTTCCTCGGTATCTGCTGCGAGTGGCAGCGTATCTGAAGCTCGCTCGTAACTCGGATTTTGGCTCACTGCTCGAGGCAAAAAATTGACTGAGTGATGGCTCGTAACTCGGAAAACTTCTAAGTTGGGGCACTCATAAGTCAAGGTACCACTGTACGATTATTTTTTTTTATTAACACATCAGCTGTTTTCCACCAAGGCAGGGTGGCCCGAAAAAGAAAAACTTTCATCATTAATTCCATCACTGTCTTGCCAGAGGCATGCCTACACTACAGTTATAAAACTGTAACATTAACACCCCTCCTTCAGTGTGCAGACACTGTACTTCCCATCTCTAGGACTCAAGTCCGGCCTGCCATTTCCCTGAATCCCTTCATAAATGTTACCGTGCTTACACTCCAATAGCACGTCAAATCTTAAAAACCATTTGTCTCCATTTGTTCCTGTCTAACACGTTCACAAACGCTTGCTGGAAGTCCAAGCCCCTCACACACAAAACCTCCTTTACCCCCTACCTCCAACCTTTCCTAGGCCGACCCCTATTAATATTATATATTTTATTTCAACAAACTAGCCATTTCCCACCGAGGATGGGTGACCCAAAAAAAGAGAGAGACTTTTACAATCACTCACTTCATCACTATCTTGCCAGAGGGGTGCTGATACTGAAGTTCAAAACTGAAAATATCTCCATCCCTCCTTCAGAGTGCAGGCACTGTACTTCCCACCTCCAAGACAGTTTCCCTTGCTCAGGCTCAAACAGCATGTCAAGTCATAAAAACCATTCGCCTCCATTCCTACTGAACATACACACACTTTCTGGATGTCCAAGCCCCCTTGCACACAAAAACCTTCTTTACCCTCTCTTCCAATTTTTCCTAGGACAACCCCAACCCTACTTTCCACTACAGATTTGTACACTCTACAAGTCATCCTACATATTTTGTTCTCTCCTCTCTAAATGTCCAAACAGAGAGAGAGAGAGAGAGAGAGAGGCAGACAGACAGAGACAGTCATGCTTTTGTGTGTGTGTGTGTGTGTGTGTGTGTGTGTGTGTGTGTGTGTGTGTGTGGTGTGTGTGTGTGTGTGTGTGTGTGTGTGTGTGTGTGTGTGTGTGTGTGTGTGGTACAGTGACAACATATAGAAAAACATGCCAAGGTTCACTGGGGCAGTGCTGATGGTGCAGCACTATACCAGTTAGGTTAGGTAAGGTTCGTCAGGAAACAGGACAAATGTTTCCTGACGTGGGTCTTAAGTCAGACCAGTGAAGCACTCCTTGAAGCAGTGTCAGGCAGAGTGCCACTCTGCCTGACACTGTGCTTCAAAGAGTTGCATATATTCCAGCACTTCTAAAAACATTGCTGGAACCTATAAATAATGTGTATACAGTAGGGCCTCACTTTAGTGTTTCGCCTTACGGCGTTCCGCTAATATGGAGATTTCAAATTTGCTATACAGCAAGTGGTCTTTCAAATACTGCAAGCCCCACCTGGTTTGTTTACATTCTCCATGAGCACAACTCTATTATGTCTGGAAATTTTCCAAAATTTAAATGCAAAGTTTTGGGCATATTTATCTATGATCTCTGATATAATACTTCATGTACCTGTAACCTGTATACATCTCCATCCACTTAAAACCTGTCGTACTCTTTACTCACTTATGCCCGTGTCTGGCCTGTGGGGGTGCCGTCTGCCTCGTCACACCACTGTACAATATTTGCAATACTCACGGCCATGTCTGCAGCAGCACCTGTTTGGGTAACTGTCTATCGTGAGCACCCTCTGTTTTAACCTGTACTGAACTGTCAAAATTCCCTGTAAGAGGGTCTGTCAAAAAGGTCTATCTGACTTTCTGTTTGCTTTCATGTTGACCACCTTTAAATGCAATTGGTTTTGAAGATGCCATAAAATAATCATGAATCATAATAATAATCACTGAGCGCAAAAACCTGTGTTCTAACTTTGTATAGCATTTTGCTTGTATTCGCATTTGTGTCTTTCTTCTATGTTTGTCTTTACCTTGTGTAATAAACTGCTACCTGTGTCATTAAACCTAGTGTATTTAACATGAGTGTGTCTGTCTTTCGTGCTTGTCGGTCTCACAGGCATCATTAGTGTGCAGGCTGGTAAAACAAAAAAAAAAACAACCAATTTGTTTAAAACATCGATAACCTTTCTTAATCCATCTTGTTTCTTTTCATTTAAATAAACATGTTTAACATACACCATCTACATTAAAAATATAGAGATATTTTGTGTACAGGGTAAAGTAATGATTGTGGGTAAAAACAATTAATTTAGTTTACATAATAATTAATATTCGTTAATATTATCGTTACATATGTATATTTAATAATAATTATTAATATTTTAATGGTAAGTCACTGAGAGCACAATCCATTATAGTTTTACATGGATAATAATATTATTAATATTAGTACATTTATTACTTGTAATAATAATTACTTAATATTACTTAATTTAGGCATGGAGACAGATCACTGAAGCAACGTCGGATATTGTGGAGACTAGAATTATAAAGAGATAACAGAGATGGAGAGAGAGAGAGGAGAAGAGAGAGATAAAGAGAGAGAGAGAGAGAGAAGAGAGAGAGGAGAGAGAGAGAGATGAGAGAGAGAGAGAGAGAGAGAGAGAGAGAGAGAGAGAGAGATACAGAGAGAGAGAGATACAGAAGAGAGAGAGATACAGAGAGAGAGAGAGATACAGAGAGAGAGAGAGATACAAGAGAGAGAGATACAGAGAGAGAGAGATACAGAGAGAGAGAGAGATACAGAGAGAGAGAGGATACAGAGAGAGAGAGAGATACAGAGAGAGAGAGAGTTTTACAGGAGAGAGAGATACAGAGAAAGAGAGAGATACAGAGAAAGAGAGAGATACAGAGAGAGAGATACAGAGAGAGAGAGAGAGATACAGAGAGAGAGAGAGAGATACAGAGAGAGAGAGAGCCACATTCAGTCAGCCAATCACCCACCCGGCCTCCCACCTGGCCAGCCAGCCAGCTATGTATTACACATGTTCCAGAGTTGTTTCTCTTTACTTAGGGTATAGGTTATATTACATTCTGGCAGGATGACACTACCAGTGGTATTCTCCCATTCCACTGTGTCGCCAATACATAAAGATAACAGTAACATATGATACTGTATGCAATGTAAAATTTACAATACAGTTCACTACCATGTATACATTATATACAGTAAATAATTAATTAAAATATAACAATAGAAGTAAATTATAGTAAAAAAAAAATGAAATAATGATTGTACATTACATTACAGTACTATGTAGGTAGTTTATATAGGAAAAGTTTGACATTATGCCCTACCCAGTATGTCGGCAATTTTCAAAGGTTCGACTTACGTCCATTTTGACTTACGACCGGTTGGTCGGAACCAAGCTTGGTCGTAAGTCGGATGGTAGGTGTACTTACACACTGTGCTGGTGTGCAGGTACACATTAAAATCACTAAGTCTCTCTCTACTCAAAGCCATATTATCTCTTGGGAGCATTAAATGTTGTATATTACGTTAATATAGACATTTCCATTAATCCATCTATGATATTTTTTCAAAATCATATAATAAAACTGCTACATAACACATAAACATGATACGTACACCCACAGTATAAAAACTGACATAAATATGAGATACGTTTCCCAAGAGTTTGGTAGGAGAGTCGAAGAATTACGTTGTCTCTAGTCAAACGCCAATAACCTGACTAGAAATTTATTCCTTTCATATGCCTTCACTCTATCTACAGCTATTCATGAGCCTTGTGGGTTTAGCGCTTCTTTTTTATTATGATTATAATAATAATAATTTGTCAGAGCATCATTCTTTCTAAAAATTACATGAGAATGGAAGTGTTGGTCTTTATTTATTCTACTGAATCAAGGTGGAGAAAACTTGTACACAATGTAAAGTGTTTGTATTATGGTATAATACAAACGTGTATGAATGAACACTAGATGTGTTCGCCTGGTTTGTTTACATTAACCCTTTGACTGTTTCAGGGCCCTCTCTGAAACTGTCATTCTATGTCGCCAAATATTCGAAAAAAAAAAAATTATTTTTTCTTATGAAAATGTTAGGAATATTTTTACTAGTGTTTTAAGCCTAAAAAAAATTTTTTGCCATCAGTACTTACCGAGATATAGAGCCGCAAAGTTTGCAGAAATTGACGTGTGTACGGCAACAGCGGCGACTGCCGCCCACCCGGTATTCTTTTATTTACTCTAATTCAAAGGTTTCTTGCATTTTTCAATATTTTTCTTTTCCAGGTAACTTAT